GCCCAGGAGTTGCCAGCTTGACAGCAACCACAGACCCAAAGTCCTGAGCTGTGCCAACAGAAGAGCTGGTACAAGAGATACCTGGCCACTAGAGTTCTTTGAAGACACTAAATGCGGTTTTGCACACACAGTACTGAACAACATTTTAAAACTCTTTCAGACTGTCAGACTTTAGAAGTAGTCAGTAAAGTAATTTCTTTTCTGGTACAGTTCATGCTTTCATTAATTTAAACAGAAGTTTATTTGTATAAGCATTGACTTAAATACAGATTCTAAATGTCGGCCCTTTCATTTGTAAACAATGTATGAAACAAATTGGAATGTAAAGCTTCTTAAAACATTTCACTTCAAATTACCATTTATATTGTTTGTATTATAACTGCAGTTTAAAAAGTATATTTCAGAAGCTGGTTTCAGTATTTAATTTTCACAAACATGAACAAATCATCATAGTGTTGAGCTTGTTAAATATTATTTCCAGTAGAAAATAATAACTTCATATTAGTATGTACCACTAACATAACACTTCGTATTGAAAGAGTTGCACAGCAATAGGTATTAACTTTACTAAATGAAAATTAGGTTGTGCATAAAGAATTATACTGATAAGAAATTTTCTGAGCCAGGTAAAATTACAGGTATAGCTCTGTATTTGCTGACCCATAAGTTTATATTAATTTAGGTCTATTTCTTCATTTCAATGGTTACTAAATCATTTCAATGATTACTAAAGTAGTCTTTTTAATATGCAAAGGATAGAAAATTTCCCTTTTGTTTGGCAATCAAAACACCAGCTAAACAACCTTTTCTTAGATGTGTTACCAGGTTAACACTTTGGGGTTTACTGATACCTACAGTTCAGAAATAGAAGTTGTAATAAGAAGCTATGAAAAAATTGCTTTGGGAGTAAAGGTTATCTGTCAGAGCAATCACCTTTTTTCTGAGGCAATAGTAAGGGCATAAACAAGAATAGGAAAGACATTTCATAACAACACTAGCAACCATGCTAATTCGTCCATATCTGTAGTTTAAAATCCTGAGCTTTGGACCTAAGAACTTGTTTAGGGTAGTTTTCCTCTTCAGCAGGAAGAACCTTCCAGTATTTTAAATAGCCTGTTCTCTTGGATTTTTGTCATTTATTATGTATCTTTACGTTATTTTGTATTTTTTTTCTCTTGGTATATTCATGAATTGTATTTAAATGCTAATTTTTACAGTTAACATTTTATTAAATTTAAGCATAGTTCATATATCATAAAAATAATGAAACAGAGTGTGAGGCAGTTTCTGTGTTTGATAGAAAAGAGAAACCATGTATCTGTTTTGTACATGGTAACTTCTTTGAGTCCAAATAAGAGGACAGAAAGGTTTTTTTGCATTTTACACTACTGTGGTCCCTGTTCTGCTGTCACATTCATGGTGACTTTTCCATTTTCTGTTATTTAGAGATGAAATTTTCCCTATCCCTGAAATAAGGTTTATTACGCAAAATCTATTTTCTGGCACCCTGTAATTTAACAGATATGAGATACCTTTCTGGGTAAGTAGAAGATGTGCAGTCTTCAAATTCATTTGAACAGGCTGAATATAATACCAGAAGCCTCAGGGGATAATGTTTGAAATCATCGAGGGACATTCTTAAGACAAAGATTGCTTGTCTGAGATACTCTTTGCTAGAGGTTTCACTGTCTTGCTTAAATTATGCATTTATGAATAAAATACCTTACCTTGAAGTAACAAAAGCTATAAAAACATGGAGACTAAGTATTTACATCCATAAAATGTAGGAAGGGAAACAGGGCAGGATATAAGCATAGGGATAATCCCATCTGATCTTAGATTCAGTCATCTTGTCCTTGGAAAACAGAATGTTGTATCTTTAAATAAATTTCAGGTAAATAATATTTCAACAGAAAAGTACTGTATGGATGTAGCAGAATATTTTGTTTACAGTGATTTGTACTTTCCCACCAGTCAAATAAATCATTTGAGATACTGAACTGAGACAGTACACTAAAAGGGTGTGGTTGGAAGAATAATGTGATGGGAGTAGATTCTCAGTGAAGTAATTTACTTTCTGATTTTTTGATTTACCTTTGGAATGATGAGTGTGATTTCACTGGGAGACTGACAAAAACAGTTGTTGCCTTAAACTTTTAATGGACAGTGTTGTTTCTTTCATCACCACCCTTTTCCAGGTTAGTACACTGAGTGTGCCTTGGCACTCGGCAGAGTACTAGGTCTTAAGTACTTGTGAAAATTTCCTGTTTTCTTGAGCAGATGTGTTTTCTGTGGCATTCCATTCACTTTTGAGCACACCCACCCTGGTATGCAGTGACAAAGGAGGCAGGCTTCTACACTAAGTTTGAAATTTATCAGGATGAAAATTAAAACAATATCTGCATACCTACAGCCTTGCACATGATCCACGGTTACAGGTCATCCCTGAAGAACGAGCTGGAATTAGACTGTTGAAGAAGTAATTTACTGTATATTAAGGATATTGACTTCTTTTTTTCTTGGGTTTGGGGTTTCTTTTTTGTAAACAAACCAAAGCAAGCTGTAAGTTGTTTATTGCTTTTTAGGGTATAGTCTATTCATGTGTAAACATCTCTTCCCCATGAGTTCCTTCAACATTCCAGCTTCCATTGCTAGAGATAGCTGAACAAAAGAACTGTCTCTACCACTTTTTATCATGCTGCTTAAATCACCCACTGAAGCCATTAATATCTTCCTCCAAAATGTGCCTCAGTCATATCATACAAAACCACAGTTATTACCAGTTGGGATGCTTTTTACTGATGTGTGTGTCACCAGTAATGTCCAGTGTCACTCATAATCAGGATTCATAACAATTTCAAGGAGTCTGAAACAGCACAGTATTTTGAAAGACAAGTACAGGTTTTCCCCTTTTTTTCTGATTCACAGAAGTGTTTTTATCATACAAGCATTCATCCAGCTCATAGGATTATCTTTGAGACATTTCAGTTCTATTTCAGATGACAGCCCCATCCTTTCTGTTAGTCTCAGAAAAATGTAGAGTGTGGAAAAGGACTTTCCTGAGTTCTTTTGAAAACCATCTCAGAGCAAGGTTTACCGTGACGCCATCAGCCAGTCTGACCTACTTTGAAGTTCTTACAGTTGGACTGGAAAGCCCTCTGGACTTTAAACACTTTATTCTGTCTCAGGTCAACCTTTGTTGCTGAAGCTGCTTTCATTTTGCAACTTGTACATTTTCCATGCTGTCTCCTACTTCAGTATTCATATTAATGATGGTGTGCAATTTAAAAATTAAAAATAAAATAACAAGAATTCAGCTGTATTAAAAAGATGGGAGATGGAAATTGTTTTCAAAAGAAAAAAATAAAATGTGCTCTCTGGAAATAAGAACAATTTTCAAGGTTGGACTAGAGAAAAGTCTCTATAAAAATATACTGTCAGCATTTCTGAGAACAAGCAAATCATGACATCTGAGTGGCTCAGCAGAACAGGAATAATATACTTCTAAAGTAAAATGAAAATCTGCATGAACTTAAAGGTAGTCAGAGGTGGAACATTAAAAGAGGAAGAGCTCAAAAGAAAGAAGACAGTTAATTTGATTACTGTGGATTTGCAGTGCTCATTCTCCCTCTATTGCCTGCCCTGCAAAAGTCCCTGAGCACACATTTAGTAAGAACTCCTTAGCAGTCTTCCCACTTTGATCTCCTCTTCACAGCCTCCCTTTACAGCCTTTTGAGGACATATCCAGAGCGCCAGGTAATTCAAGTACTTTTTAAACACCTTAAGAAGCCTCTCAACCCATTTTGTAGATTTGGGAAAATGCAGGCTTGCTCTTCCTGCCCCTTGAGATCTGAGAGACTGTGTCAGCAGCTTATCTGGTGCTGGCATTTAAGGTGGTCTCTGCCTTCCCCCCAATTCCCTTTGCCAGTTCAGTCTCGTGTCCATTTTGCACATTCTCTGCTCCATCAGTTCCACCTTCCCCACCAGTTTTGTTCACACACACCCCTCCTCCACCTTCATGTGTCCTTCCCCTTGCTGGTTTCTGAGGCTCTTCCCTCCTGCTCATCATCTTGTGCTTGAGAGGCTGCACCAGGACATCCTCTCTCTCCTCATATGTTTGGTTCTGACAAAGCCAGAGATGAAGACAAGGAGTTACAAGGATCTGGGAGGAGAGAAACCAGACCTTTGGAAAAAATGGCAAGACACTAAACAAGTTGTTTTCAGTCCCTCCTCCAGTGTAAGGAGGTTGGACCAGTGAGTGCCTGAAATCCTGAAATTTCAACCAGAATTACTTCAGGATCACAGTTTTTGTTACCATCCTTACCAATGTCCCCCCATTCTTCTATTATTTCCTATAGTCTGGATCATAGTTAGAAGACAAGGTAAGCTTTACTCAGAAGACAAGAAAAGCTTGTAAAGCCTTTTGGGTTTTCTTGTTTATGGTGTTCTTAAAGGTCACTTGGAAGATGGAACCTTCCAGGGCCTAAAACCAAACACTTGGAGAGCTGTGGGATAACTGTGGGTAATAAAATAGAAAATCACAGTTTATTTGTCTAAGGGAAAGAAAAGAGGCAGGTTATAGGCAGCAAGAATAATAATAGAATTAAATTAGGGAAGAAAAAAAATTAAGTAGGGGGTCACAAGAAGTAGAGCTGCTCCTGTCAAGTTCTCTGGATTACTGAAGAGGAAAAGTGATAGCTTGAATCACTCGAAGCATTTAAACACTGACCAAAATGGCCTTAGCAACTCTGTGGTGAATCGAGACAAATATGTCTCTTCATCTGTAAGTTGCTCTCTATAAGAAGAAAAAACAACCAAGAAGCAAACTGTGAGAGGTTTACTTTATAGGCTGTATTAAAAACTGTGCTTCTAAGAAGCTTTGTTGTTACCACAGACAAACAATAAAAAGCCCCCAAATCAAGGAAATATTTTTCTCTTTTTAATAAGATGGTAAAATAAACAATAGAAACAAATGCTTCAGGCTCATCCAATGAAATACAAAAAAATTCCATATGCCCTCAAATCATTCAGAAGCTAATGTTCCCAACTATTCCTATTAAATTTGAACTGCTCGGTGTAGACTGGAAAATGCAATTTCAGAAAGCTGCAGGAGGGTAAGGCTGTATAAATGTAAGGAATGGAGGTAATGAAGTATTAACTGGATGCTAAATAGCTGCCTATCATGTTTGCAATGGGCAGTTTACAATCTGTTCATCCTGATGGATTTAGCACAAGGGAGCCTGAAGTCCTGGCAATTTCTGTCTCTGCCTAGTAATTGATGGCTAAGCTGTACCCACAAATCATGTGTTAGCACCACAGGAGTTTGGGACCCTGCTCAGCCCAAACAGCTCCACTGCACTCAGAGGAGCAGTAGTAAATGGAAGGTAAGGAAAAGTTCCAAGAGATAATGGGTCGGAATGCTAATGACCCAAGCTAGAACAAAAGATGGAAATGCAATTTCTCAAAAAGTACAAACCCATTTAATGTCTTAATGAGTTATTAAAAATCTGTAATAACGATTCTGTGATTTGAAGCCAAATTAGTATTTTTCCACATTTTTTTCTTCATGCACTAAGCTATTGTGCAAATTATGATGGTCTTCCTGTTTTACTGCAGAAACTAACATGCTTGCTACAGAAATCTTTTTTTCTGTAATACTTTGGCCACCCTTCTCAACAGCCAGAAACTGTATCTTTTAGGCATCTCAGTCATCTAGAGCATTAAGCAGGTTGAAAATTGTGCTCATTTCATGAAAGTAGAGGATAATTCCCAGCTTTATACAGACTTCTTCTTACCCTGTGGAATATATAAAATAAATTTCTACCCTGATAAAAAAATGTAATTATCACAAGGATTATCGCAACCAAAGAAGTATGTATCTTGAATGAACAGAAAATAGATGTGAAATCTACACTCCGCTATCGAAGTTGTTTATGCAGCAAAACATGTTTGTCATTCATATTTTCTTAATACCAAATAATTATGATGTAAAAAATGGAGCTTGTCAACTGAAATGCATAATTGGCCTTCTCCTGAAAAGACAGATAACATAGCTCCCCAAGCTGAAAATGGGGATGCTTTCTTCTGGGCATGTATGATGTGTCTTCTTTCATTCAGAAGTGCTGGTATTTCATAGGGTGGTACCTGAAACTAAAGAAAATAGTATCAGAATAAAAGAGGAGGTTAAGTCTTCTCTAATTTATCTCAAGTGTCATAATTCTGACTTTCACAGTAATTAATTCTTCTCTTTATTACAAAAGAAAACAACATTGTAGCTAAAAGGCAGACAAAATAGATGATGCACATCAGATTGGAGCAAAAGACTGAAACTGATACCTGACAGCTGAGTAGTGGCTCAGGTACCTGCCCCATGTGATACAGGAACTTGAGCAAGGCACACCAGGTCTTACCCACTTCCAGGGAAGATGGCAATGGAAGAGTGGGAAGAGCCAGAAAGATTCACCACGTCCACCTAGCTGAAGTGCTCTTCTGCAACTGCATTTCCCATTCTCTACTGCTATATGGCAGGACACATTTGGAAATAATTAAATGAAAGCAGCTTTTCCCACATTCAGTGAAATGCTTCTCCCTAACCATCAATGGCACTTTTGAATTTGGACTGCAGCTCCCAGAGCTCCCAGAGTCCAAGCTTATCTTACTTTTTAGAGAACTATGCAATGCTGAGGGAGGGGAAGAGGGAGGTGGAGTGGAAGTACAGCATTCCTGTACTTCTAACTTGCACACTGAGTGAAAAAGCAAAAATAGTTTGTCACCCATTCTGGTAGCTCCCATAGCTGCAGGCCTGATTACAACATCTGTCTACATTTGCTTTTACATGATAGGAACTGGCTTCAAAAATGTTCCTTGGCTGTGAAATCATACTGGAGGCAGCAGCTGCCGAAGTGAGCTAGAAAATGACAAGTGTAGGCAGGATACATTGCATCAAAAATTGATGCCAGCTAATGGAGCAGTGGGTTTAAACAGCCTGCACAGTGCCCCTTATAGTCCAGTTCTGCCAGCAAGCAGGAGTGTTTCCCTTGGAAACCTTTAGTGTCTCTTTTGGAGAGAAACACATCCTGGCATGCATTTAGTGCAGGACCCAGTAATTGTGCCAAGTACCCTGGAATATGCTCAGCAATCTGATTCTGTGGGCTTTTCTGTTCTGAGAGTTGTCATTTTAATCTATGATTAAGACTGGAATCTCTTATGGAAGCAGAATCAGGAGGAATTGCCTTTCATGATATTTAAAAAATAAGTACGTAACTGAGTGCATACAGTTCTGAAAACAGTTTAAAACTGCATGAGGGCATAAATCATAGAATCATAGTTATCAACAGGAATTATGGTGTAAAAAATGAAGTCTTACAAAAATGGCCAACTGACAAAGCCAGTAGGTCAGTACTAGTAGGAACTTCTCCCTTCAGCAGCTTCACACCAAATCTTATGATGACTTTAATGACAGTACTATCACTTCAGAGCACTGAAATTATACTTTTCAGAAAAACTGTCAAAAGGATAATTGGAAGGATCCCAGCAATTTAAAATCACACCTACTGTTCTTCACAAATACCTGCATGAAAGCAGCTTAACTGTAATCTTCCTCTCACTCCTGAGCTCACTTGTAACATGCCTTTGCTAGAATGTCTTATGAGTTTCACTGTTTTCTCTGCATAATTTCTATCTTCTGTTGATTGTGTGGGTGCCTTGCTTGAAGAAGATGAGAGAGAGATTCTTTTAAATATGAAAACATTTTTGTAAAGCCACAATCACATAAGGAAAACAGGCAAAGAATATTTTTAGTTGCACTTTCTGTTTGTGCTACTAAGTTCAGCAATGATGGCATTTAAAGACCTCTTCAGGAAGGCAGCAGCAGCATGAGCCAAAGCCCAGGTAATACTGTAGGTATACCTGCACTGAAATTTCCTGACATTAGACTGGGATATGCACAATCAAATTTCTAATTTCCTGTGGGAGTGTTTCATTAGAAAACAAGGACAGTGATGATAATCTGAATGTTGCTGGGTAAGAGTCAGCCTCTCATACACTTGTTAATCTCTTGTGCCAACCCTTTCACCCATAGGGGTTTCATGCCTACATGCTTCTCAGATTTTAAGAGGAAAGGAACCTATCAAATTCTTTTATTTTACAATTTCTTTGACAGAGGTTTTCATCTTTTTAGCCATACACCATGTGTTGTCTCTGCCAGTTACCTGTCATCTACCTTATGTTCCAGTTTTATAATCCATTTCACCTGAAGATAAGATCATGTCTTAAATTCTATATTCACTGGAGACCAACTTGTCTTATTTAACTGTACAGCTACACTGTTACTCAGGAAGAAGTACAGAGACATGAAGCACTTCGTGTGTTCAAGGATCTCAAAGCTCTTTACAATGACAGATGGCAAAAGGCAGTGTACTAAAAATCATTGGCAGTTGCTGATGTGGAACTTCCATTAGCTTTTATGCAGCCTTTGCCATGTCTACCAGTTTTATTAAAAGAATTAACAGGATGCAGGATACCAGAATTCTCTTATCTTGTCCTTGGGGCATTGATTGTCAAAGAGATTGACACATAAATAAAATGTTCGGGTAATAGTGACCAATTTGTGTGAATTTGTTCTAGCATCAGCTCAGAGCTGATGCAACACTTGGCACTTTCAAGGAAATATAAGGCCCACAACAGTTGACTTGAAGACACTGAGTCTTTTTTCCCTTCCTTCCTTCCTTCCTTCCTTCCCTCCTTCCTTCCTTCCTTCCTTCCTTCCCTCCTTCCTTCCTTCCTTCCTTCCTTCCCTCCTTCCTTCCTTCCTTCCTTCCTTCCCTCCTTCCTTCCTTCCTTCCTTCCTTCCCTCCTTCCTTCCTTCCTTCCTTCCTTCCCTCCTTCCTTCCTTCCTTCCTTCCTTCCCTCCTTCCTTCCTTCCTTCCTTCCTTCCCTCCTTCCTTCCTTCCTTCCTTCCTTCCCTCCTTCCTTCCTTCCTTCCTTCCTTCCCTCCTTCCTTCCTTCCTTCCTTCCTTCCCTCCTTCCTTCCTTCCTTCCTTCCTTCCCTCCTTCCTTCCTTCCTTCCTTCCTTCCCTCCTTCCTTCCTTCCTTCCTTCCTTCCCTCCTTCCTTCCTTCCTTCCTTCCTTCCCTCCTTCCTTCCTTCCTTCCTTCCTTCCCTCCTTCCTTCCTTCCTTCCTTCCTTCCCTCCTTCCTTCCTTCCTTCCTTCCTTCCCTCCTTCCTTCCTTCCTTCCTTCCTTCCCTCCTTCCTTCCTTCCTTCCTTCCTTCCCTCCTTCCTTCCTTCCTTCCTTCCTTCCCTCCTTCCTTCCTTCCTTCCTTCCTTCCCTCCTTCCTTCCTTCCTTCCTTCCTTCCCTCCTTCCTTCCTTCCTTCCTTCCTTCCCTCCTTCCTTCCTTCCTTCCTTCCTTCCCTCCTTCCTTCCTTCCTTCCTTCCTTCCCTCCTTCCTTCCTTCCTTCCTTCCTTCCCTCCTTCCTTCCTTCCTTCCTTCCTTCCCTCCTTCCTTCCTTCCTTCCTTCCTTCCCTCCTTCCTTCCTTCCTTCCTTCCTTCCCTCCTTCCTTCCTTCCTTCCTTCCTTCCCTCCTTCCTTCCTTCCTTCCTTCCTTCCCTCCTTCCTTCCTTCCTTCCTTCCTTCCCTCCTTCCTTCCTTCCTTCCTTCCTTCCCTCCTTCCTTCCTTCCTTCCTTCCTTCCCTCCTTCCTTCCTTCCTTCCTTCCTTCCCTCCTTCCTTCCTTCCTTCCTTCCTTCCCTCCTTCCTTCCTTCCTTCCTTCCTTCCCTCCTTCCTTCCTTCCTTCCTTCCTTCCCTCCTTCCTTCCTTCCTTCCTTCCTTCCCTCCTTCCTTCCTTCCTTCCTTCCTTCCCTCCTTCCTTCCTTCCTTCCTTCCTTCCCTCCTTCCTTCCTTCCTTCCTTCCTTCCATCCTTCCTTCCTTCCGCCACTTCCTTCCTTCCCCTCTCTTTCTCTCTCTCTCACTCTCCCTCTCTCCCTCTAAAAATGGCAGCACTTCATCCAAGAGCTGTCAGGTCTCTATCTGTCTCTAATTTCCCCAAATAGAACACTGTTCTGTCCCTAGTCATTCATTATATCTATTAATGCTGCCTTTGATTCAGAGAACACAGGCAGAGGACAGTGGCACTACAGGAGAGGGCTCACACTTTCTCTTCATGCTACAAACACATGGCTTTTATTCTGCCCTAACCACTCTAAGACTGAAGTGCAGCTTTGGTGTGAGAGAGGCCAGTGAGAACTGCACTGTCAGTCTGCCCAGACTCCACGTGGCCCCACCCCAAGGACAGAAAGATTGCCACAAGGGCAGGACACAGAAAGTCACTCTTTGAGACAGGCTTCTTTAGCCTCCAAGGGAAAGTTTAGCCAAAACCTTCCCTACTCAACAATGATTTCAGGGATAACCATCAACAAAACCATATTTCTGAATGCTCCAATGCCTTCATCTTACATATGGGTATGGTGATTTGGCTCTTACTCGCCCACTTTAATTTCTTCCTTCAATTATTCTTTGCCCCCACTGTTTAGGGAATAGCCATTGAATCAAGCACATTCAGAAGTGTTAGTCCTCATGGTTTCTCACACCAGATACATCACACAGCATTTTACAGCTGCTGAAAATAATAGTTTTTGCCAGTAGTGTTCTTAAAGTTAAAATTACCAGTTCATGCAAGTAAAGCTTTGTTAAAAGCACTATGTAATCTCTGTTTTAGCTGAGGATAAACAGTTCTTTCTTACCACCATGCAAATTAGTAAAGTGGTGTCATTAGGAGAGACAGAAAAGTCATGTCTCCAGAGCCTTTTTCTAGCATGCTCTTACCGAACAGCATTGGCTCTGAATGCAAATGTATGCCCTGAATAAAATGTTCATGCTTCCAATCTAAATAAAATTAGGGTAGTTAATGTCACAGCCTTCTGACGGCACTAAGGAAATACATTGACAGCTGTCATATGTTGTCCTGGTTCTGGCCAGGACAGAGTTAATATTTTGCTGTAGCTGTGAAGGCATTAGCCTGGAGCTGTGTGGGCATGGCTAGGAGATTATTCTACACCACCTTAGTCATTGCCAGGAGCAGGGATAAGGGATTCTTGCTTCCAGGGAGAAGGGTATTCCTTTCAGTGGGGAAAAAACATTGTGGGGAAGAGCCAGTCAGTAATGTCCCATGCTTTCCATGTATTACCTTTTGTTATTGTGTTCTTATCTCATTGCTGTTTCCAGTAAATTGTGCGTATTTCAAGCCATGATCTTTGCCTTTTGTGCTTCCAGTTGGAGGGGAGAGGCAGTAAGCTGCAGTGTGGTTTTAGCAGGACTGCTGAATTGGAAAATACCATTCCTAAGCCATGACATATGTAAAGTGCATTTCAACTCTTGAGGGACATGGCTCATTTACTTTTTTCTAGGACAGTTGCTAATGTAGTAGTATGTAGTAATGTAATGTAGTTTAATAAAAGATGGCAGAAACAGAGGATTCTTATGTTTGGTACTCAAGTGTAGTTTTAATAGTTACCGTAAAAATACACAGAGACTTTAAGTGATCTATGCTGAAAAGATTCACCTTTGGCAAAGGCACAAGTGCAGAAGATAGTGCATTTTTTATTAGCTGTCAGTGCAATAGTGAATAACAAAGCATTTGGGTGCATTTCTGTGTGCACACACAGATAGAGATATAGATATACCGCACAATTGCATCTAAGTATATTGATAAATATGGCAACACAGATACAGTCATATGTTTATCAATATATTTACATTTTATAATCAACAGTGTTGTCTTAAGTCTAAAGACTTTTAAAATACATTTATAGAAAGAAATGTCTTTTTCTTGACATAAAAAGAAAAGCAGGAAAATTGCGATGTGTAATTGATTATTGATATCTCTCTCAATCTACTAGTAAAAGCAATACTTCACTTTTGCAGACTGGAGCAATAAGCAAAGAATATGCAAATAGGTCTCTCCTGACCATTCCTTTGGCTAAAAAAAAAGTTTTTAAGCTTTTCATCTTAAAATGTATTGTGTTAAGGGCCACTGCTGAGGCCATCATCAGGTTCTCCAGCTTATTATTTATAATGATCGTGATCAGAGTGATCCTTGCTTTTACATTTCCTCCTCCTCACAACTGCTGTTACACCTACCACAGCTGCTGTGTAGGTAGTCTCCTGACAGAGAAATCAAACACTGCTGTGGTTAATGATTTCTCTGAGTGCAGCTCCAGCTGGCTGAAGATGAGGAAAAGCATAACTCATCTTGCCTGTCTGATTCAGGGCAGGCATTGAGGTAACTCTTACCAACCAAACAGAAGCTAGTTTTGAGGCAGGGAAGGGCAGACATTAGTAGTATCCCAAGTGGAGCTCTCTCAGGTTTCTAGCTCTGCCTAGAACCCTTCCTTATCTGAGGCTTGTTTCAGTGGTCTGAAATGCACATGCTTCAGGGGAGCAGCTGTCAGTGATACAAAAGTGATGGGTTTGATCAAGAAGCTCCCTGGTACATACTTCTCATCTCCATCCCACCTCCTCCTTCAGAGAAAAACCCACGCTTTATCAAGCTGATGTAGGCTAGGACTGTCTTTGGCAATTCTGGGAATTTGATTTTTTTTGCATTTTTTCAGCCTCAGTACTCAGCTTTCATTTCAGGTGCAGTACTTGTAACACAGATTCTCCCTGTTGAGCAAACAAACTTTAGCAGCATTCTAGAGACTTCACAGAGACAAACCCAGCACTCGTGCAAAAAGCAGTTTGCAATTTCCTTCCCCAGCCTCAATACCACGAGCACTCATAACTAGTAAGCTTTCCTGGAACTGAGGCACACACAGACACAAGCAGTAATGACCCGGATCTGACCTTATCAGATGAACAGAGAAGAAGGGGGATTTTTGCAGGAAGTAAAGCAAAACTAAAGCAGAAAGTGCTTTTTATTATTTTCACAGAGTATTTAGCTCTGAGACAGTATTCCTTTAAGCAATGTATTCAAAACAAAACATGATGAAAGGCAAGATCTAGATCTAAGTTTCTGCAGACGCATACTTTAATAATATTTCCACACAATGTCATGTAACATTACAATTTACAATGTGTTCAGCATTATTCCCACATATCACATCTGGATTTCACCTCACTGCCAGGTGTCCTTCTGACAGATAGACTGTCTGGGAAAGCAAGCCTGCTTCTGTACAGCACTGAGCAAGGATTTTGGGTTTCCTCAAGATACCTAATCTTTTTCTTTCAGTCATTCACACAGAGATTAAGGAAAGGGAATAATTAATCCCAAAGTGTCCTGGATCTCATATATTGTCTCACAGAGCAACTAAAAATCTGAAAAGCTGTTCCATCTCTTCTTTCTATCCCAACGGTTAAGGTAATAAAAGCAAAAGGTTGCCCCAACAGTTATTCCCACCTCAAACACAAAAGTTGAATTTCTATGGGAATGAGCCATGACTTTCCCCCCCTGCTTCTAAAAGATGGATTTTAGGTGGATGCAACATTCTGGAAGAAGAACAGAATTAACAAAGCATGCTAATGATCAGCTGTAATACTGTATAAGTGAAGGCACTGCATACAGGTGAGCACCTGCTTAGCAGCACATCCTATTTCAACCTTAGAAATGTCTTATTTTTAACCCAAGAGTAAAAAAAGCAATTAAGTTGGGTGGGTACCTGGCAGACATGGAAATGGGAAGATAAAGATTTGATTGAGAGACAGTTGACAGATTTCAGAAAAATGGTGTAGTACTGAAGTGTCTTGGAGGAATCCCTGCAGAAAAGGAAGAAGCTGCCCTACAGAAAGGCTAATGGGGCCTGGAAAGCACCAGCTCGGTCAGAAACTTGAGTCCAAATGGCAAACAGCTGAACTCAGATAATCTGAGAACTGCTCTCAGTTATGTCACAGAGTTCCCAAGTCATCTTACCTCTTTGTGTCTCTTGATATCCTCATTTTAAAATAGTAATAATAACAACTTTCATCTTTGTTAATTCTTCACAAGATCTATGGATGACAATCACTTAAACAGGGGTCAGTTTTTTAATAACTATAATATACCATCCTATAACCCAACTAGTCTCATTCAAACTCCAAAAAATTATCTAGCTCAGTTATTAATTTACTATAGAATTACCTCATCTTCTGTTAGCAAAGCTATTCAAAATTTTTTCCTTAGTTCTGTTCTCAATGTACAATTTCATCTTCACAGTTCCACGTGAAGCACAAAAATCAAACTGCTCTTCAGTACATAAATTTTTTTAACACAATAAAAAGATAGCATAACATGATATTGAGTTTCCAATAGAACTCAATCAAATTTAAATAGAAATAAAAAGGAAGGACCTTCTTAAGCTTTTGACCTAAAAAAAAATCACCATACACAATAATATCATGCATGCAAGTAGCCATCACCTGGTCTATGCATTTTAAATATTAGTCTGTATTACTTATTCAAGTAGCATCTGTTCTTTTTCTAAACATTAGAAGTATTTTCAGGAAGGGATATCTCTTACTGCACATTTCTATGAAGATTTGTTTCCTTACATCTGGAATTCCTGGAACAGCTACAGCAGCACAGTGGCTGCGGAAAGCTAGGACTGGGAGATAAGTTTTAGTTCTGAACAGAAACCAGCTTCTTGTCATTCCTTCTGACTGGTGTAAGAACAACAGAGCAATCAATTGCTTTTGCTTCACGAATTTCATAAAGAAACTAATTATTTCAAATATGGAATTTTCTTCAGAGATCATTTGCAAATTGCTTTTTTCCTCTGCCCTTGTCAGAAACAAATGTCAGCACAATGCTGAAGTCTAGGACACAATATTTTACACCAGAAAAAAGGTGTCAGAATTTGCACCAAGGTCTGCAGGGACACACAGACTAACATATACGATTATAGATCACTTCTGATAGCAGAAGTAAAATTGATTCTCTTTTCATGCCACCTAGCTCTCACAAATACATTATCCAGTTTTTCATCTCATATACTTGGCTAGAAGTAATGATTTATTTTGTGCAGATATCCACACTATTAATTCTAAATATATGAGGCAAACCTGGATAATCAGAGTTGAAAGATGTTTACTTACCTTCTACAGCTGATCCATATAACAATGCTCTTGCTCAGGAATTACAGGCAGTATCTTTGTGGTCTGTGCAGGAGGTGGAATCTGTTGTTTGCTGGTTTTTGCTACTGAAAGTTAAAATAATTTTTAACCATATTATTAACAGCAAATATATCTCCAGACTGTTGGACTTGCATATGCAAGTTTGAAAATAATTGAGACCTATCTGAACACAAGACAGAGATGAACCGTACTGAAAGTACTAACTATGTTTTGTATTTAACTTCCTCTTTATGCTAGTAGGACTACAATGTGCTGATTTTAAGTCTACCTGGGAAGCAGCTTGAAGGTAGGCAAATAAATTTGTGTGAAATAAATTTGTGGATAAATTGTAATGAAAATCCAAAAGCATGCAAATTTGAGGTTATGTCAGAGTCCCCCAAAATACAAGCCCCTACATTCGGCCAGGTAAGCAGAAACGATGGAGATTTAGTGTGAACTCATTTTCACATAAGGGCTGCAGAGATTGCCACAGGTACAGAAGGTGTGGCCTCAGCTCACTTGTCATACACGCAGAGCTACTGGGTAGCCAGTTGTCAACAAGATGATATCATACACCTCAGAAGCAGGATGGGGTGAGGTGATGCTTTTAGCACACAGATCCTGATACAGTATCTCAGTGAAATACAGATAAGAAATTGCAGAGACAGCACTGTCAGGCAAATGCACACAGAATTGTTTATCCAGTGCATTTTTCAAAGAACACAAATAATATTTTGACTCCAGGTCCATCCTGTCCCTGACTATCCATTACTTCTGTAAACCTACAAATGGGTTTCTACTGAGCTGTCAGCAAGAGGATAAACTGTGCCACTTATATCTAGCTATGTTCATTCTCCACTGACTACATCATTTGGGCTTCTCTCTTTACAAATGCAATTAAAAAGTAGAGTTTGGATCTTGGCACTCAAGCAGCTGAATATAAAAAGCAAAGTCAAAATAAGACTGGGGTAATTTTAAAAAAATAACAATGGCTCTTGCTTCACCCTCAGGATGAGTCTGGAGAGAATGGGAATATAGGCTGATATCCCCTTCAGTGCCTACATGCAAACTGAGTAGAGAAAAGGTCCTTTGTGTGTCAGTGCTCTATGGAAAGCATATGGGGGCTATAAAAAGCTCCCTAAAGTTACTTGCATCCTATAGATTTTATCCTTATTTTTATCTGAAATAAAAGGTTTTAAAAGCTCCAAAGTAATAAGACTTGACAATTTTCTTGGATATGTTGCATTTCAGAAACTTTTAAGTCTGTGTTAAATATTGAATACTATGAGAAACTTTGCTTTTTCCAGCATTATTCATGTGAGTTGCAGAGGGATAGTCATTCAGCTATGTCAGCAACTAAGGGACCACGAAAAAGGTGATTCAGTTAGCCAAGATTTAACAAATTTCTCTTATCTTGGCTTTGCATCTATTTGCTGCTGTAGATGTGTCTTGCCTGTTCTCTTTGCTAAAAAGGAAATGTATTGCAGAATACAAGGAGGAGTAAGTCTGAACTCACTGGGATGTCAGCCCCAACACTACTGAGCCAGCATTTCCTTCTATTTCCAACGTGTCAATTAACCTGAAGCTGTGGCAACACATCAGAGAGATGGCAGAATTTCCCTTATTTCTTCCTATCTTGTAAGAAAGGAACTATTATTTTAATAGGATAGCACAGAAAACAATACAGGATTTCAAATGAGAGGAAATTTGTCTTGTTGTTTCTTCTGTCAAAATTACAGCTGTCAAGCCCACTTATATCAAATGCTATGTCACAATGTCACAAACCCTAAGCAGTCCGGGAAACAACTGCAGGACAGGAAGCCTGAGGTTTTACTCTCAGAATCTTGGTTGTCACTATGAGCCTCCAATGTTCTTCCAGGATGAGTTATAAAAATACCATCCAACAGAATTAACTTTGTATTACTGTGAGCCAGACAAGTGAGTCAAGGAATCTTGTATTTGTATCCTAAAATGTAATGAGCCAAACTGTAACTCCATGAGGCAATGGAGTATCACTGAAAATGAGTATACTATTTGAGCAATGTAGAACAAGGTATTATGCTTGAAGTAAGGCTGCCCACAAAGATAGCAGAGTAATAACACGATTATTTTAACAGTATGATTCCCTGTCTGCATTGGTCAGTTCTAGCACAGAAATGAGAGCAAGCCTTTTTTCAATCACATCTTATGCCACATTCAAAATAGAATAAAAATAAACAAGGAATGACATTCTTACTTTCTTATAGGAAAAGAAAGTCAAAATGGGAATTTATAGTGATAAGATTCTGGTAATATAAATTCCCACTTAAGTATAACTAATCTAATTATATTAATGAATCTTCCAGACCCTACTAGACAGTTTAGGTATTAAATGCCCTGATTTATGCAATCTCATTTCTCTACAGCTTATTTTATTTTTTTTTAAATAATGTAGCCTACAGTTCACACATACTGGCCTGCTCCCAACAAGTAATTTTGTGCCATGTGCCCAGGATCATCCTTTTTTTAGGATACAGCTACATGAGAATAACTTCACTTAGTCAGTTACTAGTAATGGAAGAGGTACCAAAGTGGTTTAGGGAAAATGGGCTAAGCAAGAGGAATAACAGCAGGGTAAGTATAACTTTATCTGCATTGGAGACTGATTTAAGCAGTAAGCTGCAAATGACAATTCAGCAGTTTGTATCTTAGTTCTTTTAAAACTCTGTGGGGAATACATTATAGTCCTTCTTATTGCCTTTATTAATTTATTAAGCTGTTCTAAAACCTCTTCTACTGCCTCTACAATTTAAGAAAGCTCTTCAAAGAAATTCTTGCAATAAAATTCTCTTATGTGGGAATCTGACTAAGTTTCTCCGTAGTAAACAGAGCAAGGAAAAGCAAGGAAGTGGCTTCAATGGGTTATTTTCTGTGTGTTCTTACTATTAAGTTCTATTTGATGAAAATGCTCTGTGTCTGGAAATACAGATCAGCCACTTAAATATTTATTTCTTGCACTAAAAAAAGAGTACCCTCTCTTCTTTCCCTTGAGTTGTGGATGCATTTAAGGGCAACTCTTTTTTGCCAGTTCATACCATTCAAGGGACAGTTATTATATATAAATGCAATGGCAGGACCAGCTCCCAAGTCCAGAAAATATGCTTTGTACATCCCATGGCCTAGTGCATTTTTTTTTAGCTTAACAGCCCAGACAATGTTTAGTCATCATTTATGACCAGAATGCTATAAAGCTCCCCTCC